CACAGAAGGAGCCAAATAGGTATTGGGAAGACCTAGAGTGACTAACTGGAGGTTACCCCTTGCCGGAGACCTCTGGGTCACTTTTGGTGCCCATAGAGCACGCCAATTGGTGTGTCCAACCACCGTCACATATTGCACGTTGGACGCTCCCTCTAGAGTTGTTTCTGTACGTGTTTTTGACTTTTAGATGATTTCTCGCCTTTTGGTTTTCCTTAGGTTTTGAAGAAAAAAATATCAAATTTGTTCTGCAATTTGTTTATGCTTCCACGAGAAGTACAATTGTTCATCTCACATAAAGGAAAAATTCGTGCTTCCATGAAAATCACATATTTACTTCTCATTGAGGCATAAATTTGATTTCACGAAGAAGCACAACTAGGAAAACAAGGTGTGTGGTTCTACCAGAAGCACATGTTTGCATATCGTGGAGGCACATATTTGCTTCCGTGAGAAGCGCAATTGTGCTTCATGAAAAAACATATGCTTCCACAAGAAGCACCGATTGGCTTCTTGTGAAGGCACATATTTGCTTCCACGGAAGAATAGTTGTGTGCTTCTCGAAAAGGGACAAAATCTCGAAGAGTTGCAGATTTGCTTCAGCGAAAAGCATAATTGTGCTTCTTGAAAAAAGGGGAAAGTGTTAAAAATAGTGCTTTTGACGTTGGTTTTTTCACACTGAAACCTATTAGCATATGATTTAATTTAGAAGATCTCGACACAAGAAATACAATGATGAAAATGATTCGGGATTTGGATGCACGGTTCAAGGAATTAAACATTTTGAATGAACAAATTTACGAAAAAGAAAACTTCCGGGTTGCGACAAATGATGCACATGTAGTGTGTGTCGGTGTCAAAATCGGAGGTCTCGCGTAGGGGATCCCGAACTGTGCGTTTAAGGCTAATGGTAACAGGAGGCGGGGGACACAATGTTTACCCAGGTTCGGGCCCTCTCTATGGAGATAATACCCTACTTACTGCTTGATTGATCTTGATGAATATGAGTATTACAAGAGTTGATCTACCACGAGATCGTAATGGCTAAACCCTAGAAGTCTAGCCTATGAGGTTATGATTGTTGTGGCTAAACCCTAGAAGCCTAAACCCTCTGATTTATATAGACACCGGAGGGGACTAGAGTTGTACAAAGTCGGTTATAGAGAAAGGAATCTACATATCCGAATCGCCAAGCTTGCCTTCTACGCCAAGAAGAGTCATATCCGGATACGGGAAGAAGTCTTTGTCTTGTATCTTCATAGCCTAACAGTCCGGCCAAAGTATATAGTCCGGCTGTCCCAGGACCCCTTAGTCCAGGACTCCCTCAGTGTGCCACTTGTAAACGTCTAAGAAGGTGAGATTGACCTTTGTAAGAGGTAACCTTTAACAAGTTATTTCGGGGAAGACCGAAGGCAACGGTGTGGAGAAGACACGTTGTGGCATTTAAGATTGGGCCTTAGAAAAAATACAAGGGAAATACAAAAAGTAACATAGGCATTTCCTATTTGGCGTAGGTGGTGCGTGTTCTAGGCATAATGGTACAAGGCGCACCCCCCCCCCCCCCCCCACACACA